CAAGAGCTTGTAACACTCCAAAGAGAAAGGAAAACTTGAAATCGCATCATATGACCCCTTTAATGTCAAAACTGAAGTATACTTTGGGCTCTAGTTTAGCTGCAAGGTGCACTGTCTCAGTAATATAACTCCTTTTTTTTTTTTTTTTTTACAGGGGTTGAAAGAAATCAAGAAAGATAAGGTTTTGATGAGGCGAAAGTCTGAGCTGCCGCAGGACGTGTATACTATAAAAGCCCTGGAAGCTCACAAGCGAGCTGTAACCCACCTCTCTATTCCTCTGCCTCTATCCATACTCTCTTCCTCCCTCACTGTTGGAGAGCCCCGTCTGCAAAAATCCAGTCCGCAGAGCAGTGGAGAGCTCCCATTAACTCTGTCCCACCCCCTGTGTGCGCACAAACGCTTTCCAAAGTCTTCACAAATCCATAGCTGCTGATCCTCACATCCAACAGAAGCTGTTAGAAAGCAGTGTGGGTTACAAATAATCAAAGTATGCTCTTGTTGTGGTTTGTTTTTCTCTCCATTGTTTTCACTTTATTTTGCCCACTTTATGCTGTCTCCATTTGTCCGCATGTTCCCTATCCCGTTTTTACCACTGCTTGAGAGATTCTCCTGTACTCCAATCACTGCCTCTGTAAATCTGTTTGCAATGAAGGGGCCACACTTAACTCAATGAATCATGTTACTCAAGATAAATGAAGACCTCAGTGGAGACGGTGACCCTCAGCGTAGGGTCTGTAGCCAAACAGGAACGATCAGGGCTATTCTTGACATCAAAAAACTACATGGAGAAACTTGTTCCTTACTAAGAAGCTTTATGAATTAGACACGCAAATTGGAGATTTGCCAATCAATTTTAGGTGCTTCCCTAGATATACACCTGAAATAGTTTCTCCATAGTGGCCTGGTGCTGTAAATGCTTAAGGTAGTCATCTGAAGAAGTCATTTTTGAGGTCACGGCCACATATGAAGAGGCAGAGGCTGAAGAGTTCGACCAAAACCGTTTGCTGTTTTCCCACTGATTGTGTTAATGATCGTCAAAAACAAGAACAAAAGGGAAATTTGTGTAAGCAATCATCTCTATATACACCACCAGCAGAGCGCTTGATGAAAATGCTGTAAAAGTAGTAGCGGAAAAGACAAGGATGTGCTCTAAACGCATGCACCAGTGGTCTATCGGTCCACTCTGCACTTACGTTTGTCTTTTCGTTTTAAGACGGATACCTCTTTAACATATACCCATCAAATCGAAACGTCCTTTTTTCACCGCCTAGCTTCAGTACGGTGTCTTGTTTTTGCTTCATAGGTTTCTGTGATGTATGAAAACTAGACAAAAACGAAAAACAGACTCCCGTCGAGCCTTGAAAAAAGAAACCGTTCTAGATCGGGAACTACTGTCCTGTCCGAAATCGTATGTCTTTTGTTGTTTTTGTAACTTTAAAGCGCCTAAGCAATATTTTTTTCAGGAATTAGAACAGTATGGAGACCATGCACTGATCTAGTGTACGATCAAGCGCTATACAATCCTCCTGATAGGACTATATACTTGCAGAGAAAAGATACTCGCTTACCTGTCCAGGCTTAATATATGGAAAACCGACAGCCGTCGCTAATACTTGTGTATATTGTCATGTATATTGCTTATGATTGTGCCCTTACCCACCCTTCAGTATTCCCTCATTCTGCTCCAAGTTCATCTTTTCTTTCATTCTGTTTGCTTGTACGACTCCATTCTGATGCATGATGTCCCCTCTCTGTTGTAAAGGTCTGTCCCGTGAAGTGTCACTTTGATCATTCCAATAGTGAGGGAACATTTACTCTTCCTACAGGCTGCTGGACAATGCAAAACGTCATCGCAGCTCAAAGGTCTCGCTGTAATGATGTCCACTTGCTGTGCATTCAAGCTGCTACACTTCTTCCATCGCTCCAAACATGCACGTTTCAACTCGTGCCATTACAGCTTATTAGTGTGCAGTGCAGAGGTGAAGTCTTGAAATCATTAGCTGTTTGAAGTGTTGTAACGTCACCTCGGCCTATCAGCGTACGGGAATTACTTGTCCGTGCAATCAAGAGCATGAATTGCCAACCTTGTTGCCTCTAAATAATAGACCAAAACATTCCAGAAACAATCAGAGGCAACGTCACTCTTGAACGCAGCACGCTTCCTTTCTCGATGCAGCTTGACAGGCGGATGGGGCCGGTGTTCAGCTTGTCCGGCAGCAACAAGAAACAGGGAAATTAAGAAAGTATGGGTCTCTCCACACTCACCCGTCCCTTTCCCTCCTCTCCCGGTCCTCCTTCCCAAGTCTGACACTAATCTTAAGCTGCTTTCCAGGTCATATGTACATATGTTGTACTTTAATTAGGTTGAGCATTACATAGTATGAAAGTCATATTTTGTACAGATGTTCATGTATGTACAGAACAAAAATAAAGAAACACAAAAGGTGTGACGGCCATTTGTGTTGCTCGAGCCGTGTGAGATATATATAAAGGATCGGTCACTCATTGCACAGGTATCAACAGTCAGATTAATGGAGATGTGAGTATTACTGAGATGCACCATCACATGTCTATACTGTCATACAAAAGCGACCACTAAGTTTTGCAAAATTCTTCACTTTACAAAAGAAAAAGAAAAAGGAACACACTGCATCATTAATACAACTGGGTTGAAAAACATTTGGGATGTTTTTAGGACAGTTTTTGCCTACTCTGTAACTGCAGCAACTGGACACTGGCTGTGTATCAGTTCAAAGCAATTAAAAGGCAAGCTATTAGATTTGCATTTCAAGAATTTCAGCCCACAGTTTGTATAAACCACAACTAAAGTGATGAATGCCTTTTGATTTGTTTGAGATGTCAGAAGCTCTGTTTCTGCAGTGTGAGATGTGCAGTAGGTGAGATGAGGCTCTTGAAACGGTTTCACTTGCGTTCCAGTCTCAGGCCTGTAGAGCTTTGTCTGGACTGAAGCGTCTGCTGGACCATGTCCTTCCACTGGTCGTCAGAGATCTCCTGGGCCCAGGCAGGGATTCCTAGTGTCGGCAAATTTACTGCCGCCATGGTCCTTTTCACCAGCTCAACGTGATCTGTGAACACAAGAGAAACTATGAAATATACTGGTACCTAAATTATATATTGCTAATGGTGCTGTCAAACGATTAATCGCATCCAAAAAAAAGTTTTTGCTTACATAATGTGTGTGTACTGTAGGGCTGCACGATTATGACAAAAATCATAATTGTCGATTATTCCCTTGAAATTGTAATTGTGATTATTAATTACGATTATCACAATTTACATTGAATGATGTTTATACCATTGTTTGATGCAACTGCGTGCCGTATTTTTATATGAAAATAAACAAGCTGAAAACACTAACTGAAAAACTTTTAGTGCTTTTCTATAGTATTAAGCCTCAAATGTTAAATATACATCGAATTGGTTTCTTTAAATAACAAAGTAAAAATATGAATGGTATTATAATGTTATACTAAAATTAAAATAATGGGGGAAAACCCTTAAGATAACATGTAGAAAGAAAAAACCGCATCTTAAGCACGCAGAATAACATAAGTGGACTTTAAACGATTAATTGCCACTTTGAATGATTACGTAATTGTGGCATCCATAATTGTAATCGCGATTAGAAATTGGATTAATTGTGCAGCCCTAGTGTACTGTGTATATTTATTATGTATATATAAATACACACACATGCATGTATATATTTAAGAAAAATATTTTACATTTATATATTAAATATGTTTATATATGATATAATTTATATGAATATAAATGTATACATGTAAATATTTTCAAAATATATGCTGTATGTGTTTCTTTATATATACATAATGAATATACACAGTACACACATGTATATTATGTAAACAAAAACATTTATTTTGGATGCGATTAATCGTTTGACAGCACTAATTGCTAACATATTTTATAATGCTAATATCAACCAATAAATTGGTAAATATTGGTTGATATTAGTGCTTTATTATATTTATCTATATTGGTATAAGATAATGGGTATTTTATTGTGCATACTTATTTTTGTGTTTAGTTTACCTTTGCTGTCATCTACCGATCCTTTCAAGTCTTTAAAAACACTTAATATAATCTATGAAAATAGTACAGATTTTTAATACTACACAGTGAAAGGCCATAACATGAATCATCTGTTTGTCAAGTTATAGACTAAATTTAAAATTATAGACTAAATTTTGACTGCATGTTTAATCATTCCACCAGTTAATTCCAAAATTCCAACTGCACATTTTCTGTATTAAATATAACTTACTCAAGCTAAACATTTTTTGTGCTTTCATCATTTCACCTGTTAATTCCAAAATTCCAATTGCGCGTTTAAAAAAACAAGCAAACAAAAAAAAACTAATATTACTCTTAAATTAAACAATTTTGTGTACTTTTATTATTCCACCGGTTGTGCTTTTTATATATATATATATATATATATAAATAGTGCTAGTATTACTAAAGTTAAATTCAACAATTTAGTGTAACGTTACTTTTCTATTTGCTAGTATTAAGTTGTATTCTTTATAATGGCCATTTAAAAATATCAGTCAACCAAGTCCAGTCAAATTTACAAGTATATCATTTTTCACAACAGCTTAACAGAAAATCATGTTTACAATATCTTAAAATCTTCATGGATTATAATCACTTTTAGCATATTAATGCTGGGTTATAGTATGATTTACGTTATGCTTATAAAACAATCAAGCAGGTTTTTTTTGTTATAGCAGATATGCCAGAACTAATGCAACAGTGTGTGTGATCTCACCTGCATCCATGGGAATGGACGCAGAACTTCTACAGGCAGCAGCTCCTTCAGGATCCTCCTCTTCGTCGCTGTCAGGGGGCGGCGGCTGGGGCAGGAACAGACCCATGGCCTGCAGAAATGGTCATAATGATGACAAGAAGTTCATTTATTAAAGTAATTAGCGGGTAACCCACACTGGCTAACCAGAAAGATACAAGCCTCCCTGTACCTCTATTCTGTCCTGGACGTCCTGCAGCTGCTCTGCGGTGGTCCCCTCGTCCGCTGGCTCTGTGTGTGAGCCGCTCATCCCGTCTGGGTCTTGATTCAGAGGCTGATAATAGTATCCAGCACTGCCCTGGTCCTCGTCTCCGGCGCCTCCTTCCTCCTCCTCTCCGCTCCACTCCTCCGGCGCCGCGGTGTCTGAGGGCCGGTCCTGCAGCGCATCCTCCTCGGGGTTCGGTAAGATTCTCTCGGGACCCATCTCTCCGGCCCTCGCCACTTCCATTCACCAGCTGCTAACAGACACAGTGAGACTCTCAGTTCGGCACAGGGACCGGTAGCTGTTAAACCACTGCCCGCCTCTTGACATGTTAAAAAATATGTGTTTTATACATGTTTATAAGTATGTTGTATAGAGTCAACATCCACCTGTCAAAGCAAGCTTGCGATTAAAATCCTGTTGGTTCATGTACACTTACAATCCCAGGGTATTGACTAACGAATACGACTGTTTAGCATACAAAGAACCTGCTGTACATAATCTCGGATTCTTTTCTCTTACCCGTTTCTTCTGTGGAGCTCTTTTATCCCAATGTTTTTAGCAGCTGTGTCTGTATCTGAGAGCTGTTGTTCGCTTCCGGTACTGCGCAGAAGCACAACTGCGCATTGATTGCGTCACGACACGACGACGCGCTAAGAGATTTTTTTTTTGTACTCTCTTTTTTTTTTATGTAGTTTAACCAGTTTTTAACCAGTCTACGAGTTTAACCTTAATATCAGCTTCTCTTCTATTTGTGTTCGTGAATCCATGTGTTTATTCTACTTTGTTCTGCTGTTGTTTTTATTGTGTTTATTTCTTTGTTCATCTACTGTGTGCACTTTAATAAACTGTAAAAAGTAAAAAGTAAAAAACAAAACATATCAAATATTTTAATTAAAAAAACGTCAGTTGTATGAAGAGTTAATGAATAATTTGTTCTTAATTGTGTTGTTTTAATCTCTCTCTCATTATTGCCATCCAGTGCGGTTTGTTTTATGTGCTTGTATAGCAATAAATAAACAAATAAATGCAACTCACTGCAGAGATGTACTCAGTCATTTGGACTTATAAGCAGTGTTGGGGAAAGTTACTTTTAAAAGTAATGCATTACAATATTGCGTTACTCCATAAAAAAGTAACTAATCACGTTACGTAGTTACTTTTAACGGAAAGTAATGCGTTACGTTACTTTTGCGTTACTTTTTAAATCTGGACAGGGCTTGCTTGTTTGTTTTTAAAATAAAAAAGTTCTATTTTTGGCAAATATATAAAAGCCTTTTCACAGCAAAAGTGAAATGAATAAGCCTCAGGCTGAAGGGAAAGTAAATTTACGTCCGTACAGCAGAATGCAGAAGAAGAAATTTCAACACACAAATGTTTGTCTAGAGTAATTTGTGCTTATTATTATGGTTGAACTGGACCATCGAAGGTCAGAAGCAAAGTCATTGGTTAATAGAATGGATTAAATACATAAAGCATATTTGTGTTGTTTAACATTTAATTATTGCAGGTTTGCGTCATATTCTGAGTTGCATTATTTTTATTCATTTTGAGGAATATTGAATCGGGGTTTTTTTGTGTGTGGGTGAGATGAATTAATGCATATTCATATTTATTTTAGAACTACAGTAACATCTTCTGATTTCTCTCAGCATGGGGACTGGAGAGCTGTCAATTAATAAATTGGAAAAAAAAAAGTAACTTGCGTTAATTATTTGAAAAAGTAACTCGGATATTCTCTTGTAAATTAAAAAGTAATGCGTTACTTTACTAGTTACTTGGAAAAGTAATCTGATTACGTAACTTGCGTTACTTGTAATGCGTTACCCCCAACACTGCTTATAAGTCGTTTGTATGATTTTCATTTTGAACCTTATTATAATTTAAGTTGCCTACATTTAATGCATATTAAAGCAAATCCGGAAATGACAAACTAAAGAGTTATAAATCTTAAACATTATTAAGCCATGCATTTGTTTATTTACTCATTTAGCAAATTATAGTTTATGCCATTTGATACATGTTTCTTATTCTTTAATGAATAAACAAGTAAATAAATAAATCTACGAAGGCGAATAATTAAAGAATTTTGAGTAAATTATGAAAACATGAATGCGTTATTGCCACACGGTGGCGTTTCTGCACGTGTGTGTTTGCGCGGGAAATGACCTGCGGGTTGTCTTGCTTTTTCCGGAGAAAGCTGTGAGTTCCTGTCAAGGAAAACCACTCTTGTATTATTATCAAAGAGGACGAAGACACTCGCAAAGTATGAACATATATTTTTGTGGAAGCATCCGCGGAGGGAGACAAGACGTGAATCTTTACCAGAGAATCGTGAAGAAGTTGCAGCAGTATGGCACGGTTTTGACGGAGCACGTGAGCTCTGGCAGTCTGTCTGAAAAAGGTGATTCACTTCTGCTCTCTTTCTCTCAGAGTTGCGCGACCTCTTATAGAGCTTATATTTCTATTAAATATGTATCCGTCTAGCATTGTTTAGTGTGTGTGAACAACTGCAAATAATCGCGTAGTCCTTATATCGAGGATTGCAGGTCAGCACTGAACATGTGTGCTTGGTCCAGGTGAAGATGGAGATCAAGCCATTCATGATCGAGATCTGGAGTGGCTGATGGTGTCTGATGGTGAGAGATCATGGCACATGTTCATACTTTTGACATTCTTCATTGTATTTAAACGTGTTGTTCCTCTGGAACTGTAATAATATAGTCAACCGTTTTCAATCAAGTGGTATTTATACATTTCACAAAACGTTTACAAAAGTTTCAAGTGATCAAATGAAATGAATGTGGTTCTCTACACCTGTGTGAACTTTGAGCAGAACCGACTTCATACTTCCACTAAAGTCACCAAAACCCCATATGAAAACCTTGATATTTTGTTATCCAGTGTAGTAATATTCATTTTTAATTGTGATTTGCTGTGTCTTTAGCCCTATTCGCATGGGATTAGTTTTATCTGGGGACCTTGTGTGATTTTGACATTACCCCCCCACCTCTGAATTTCGTGTGGTGCATTCACACCTGATAAGCGAAGCCTGTGATTTTACTCGAATTTACCGACTTGTCTCCCGGATACCCGGATGTCAAGGCTTTGAGAGTCCCGTTCTATGGTCCAGATGGATTTTAAAAAAAATAAACTAATATAGTTTCGTGCGCGCTGTCATTTACATTTCACCAGGTTAAAATAATATCTCAAGCTTTATGCTTGATTTATTTGTAACACATTAACCTCAAAATCTTTTCAGCTTTCTCTTTCTGCAAATTGTATGGTGTAGCGATATGATGACAGCACCCAAAATACTATCAAACACTCCAACGCAGCTCCATTCTTCGCGGAAGATGGATAAAAAGGCGCACAGCAAACAAAAACCTCGAAAAATGATATACGACCCGTCAAATGCTGGCCGAATCACAGAGATGCCGATTCGCATGGGATTAATATTATCACAGGACCTCGGTGTTCGGCGAAATATGGTAGGTCATTTGCGGGGGAATTTTTACTTTACAAATTACAGACATGGCCGATTCGCACGGGATTAAGATCACAGACAACCTCCGCAATTATTACAAATGACTGGAGGTCACCAGGTAATACTAATCCCCTGTGAATAGGGCTTTAGTCAGTTTTCTCAAACTCAGTTCCTGGAGGGCCACAGCTCTGCAGAATTTAGCTCCAACCCTAATCAAGCGCACCTGATCCAGCCAATCAAGGTCTTCACGATCACTAGAAACTTCCAAGCAGGTGTGAGTTGGAGCTAAACTCTGCAGAGCTGTGGCCCTCCAGGAACTGAGTTTGAGACCACTGGTCTAAGTACTTCATGGGGCCACTGTAGCATATTAAAATGACCATTGTGAGATAAATATTTTATATAATATAAAGAGGCAAAGTGCATTAATGATGATAATTAACCCTGCAAAGCCTGTCATGAAATAGTCCAAATGTATTTATTTGGTTCCGTACTATATGGACCATAAAATCCCTATGTATCAAATATGATACAAAACACTTATGCATAAAATACTTTTTTTATATATATATATATATTTTGTCCATAAGTACACTAAACCGTTACATTTAAAAAATAAATAAAACTAAAATAAGTAAATAACATTTTAATTTAGAAGCCCAAACTGAGCAAAAATATGCAATTTGCTGCAGTTGCTGATATTTATATGGCCAAAAAGTAATATGAAATTCTGTTTCAATGAGAATCAATGAGGTCTTTATAACAATATAACAAACTACTTACATAAAATGCATATAAATATGAGTTGTCTCTCTATATCTCCCGGTAGTGTGTCTAAATGGGGTGGTTCATTGTGATTTCACTTTTTTAACGTTAGTTAGTGTGTAATGTTGCTGTTTGAGCATAACAATATCTGCAAAGTTACGAAGCTGAAAGCTCAATGCAAACGGAGATATCAACTTTTAAGATTCTGGCAGATTAATGCCTACAAAAACTGCTGGTAGGGACTACAACGAGTTACTTCCCGATAAACCCCGCCCTCGGGAAAAGGCAGCAAAGGGGGCGAGGCTTGCGCTGCTTTAGAGAAGAGGAAGAGAAAACTAGAGGTGCATTAAAAATCTATTCATATATGAATCGCGATTCTGTCTTCTAACGATTCTAATGGATTCACAAGTTTCAAAATCAATGTTCTAAAGCAGCGGTTCTTAATCTTGTTTCTCGCATCCCCTGCTCTGCATCTCTCTCTCTCTCTCTCTCTATTTTATTAGCTATGTGAAAATTTTATTTTCACATAGCTATGAGAAGCGTTAAACATGGACGCGCGTGCAGTTGCCGTACTGTATTAAAGCTTTAATCAGGATAAAACCGTATATTAAAAGCTAACATAAGCAGTAGCATTTACAAATAACAGCTTATCTAAAAGTATGAGACAACAACAAACAAAAAACATAGGCCTACCATTAAAAGCCGTGCTTGCACAGGTTCTGCACGATCCTCTTCAATAACATCCTCTGCTTCTCAATCGGGCTCAAACTGATAAGCGATATTAACGACGCCGTTGTTTACAATACAACCGGAGCACATGCCGCTGAGGAGAGGGGCGGGACAATTAGACGCGCACTAGAAGCGGTTTAGCCAATCACAACACACTGGGCTAACACACTGCACCCCATAAACACAATCAAGCCTAGAAAAAACCCAGTGAACCACCCCTTTAATAAGATGAAATATGAATGCATGTTCAAAGCTCTAGTTTATTTTATTGTGGGGCAAAACATACAATGCAATGCAATGCAATTATGGGAGATTTAAAAATAAATATTCCTCAAAAGCCTGATGGATTATATTTGACTCAAATTTTACATGATTTTTCAAAAAAAGTATCTATGGAAAATCAAGTATAATACATATATTACATATACATATTTTAAGTTGTTCTTACATTTACATTATAAAAATAAAAAAGAAACGTATCACAACCTAAAGAAGGATGTATTTACAATTATAATAAAAGGTCTTTTACTTTAAAGGG